CCATATATACACGGAGTCCCTAAAGGAATGAATTTGCCATAGTCAGAGGACAAGAAGGGCTAGGAGGTCAGTATAGACATAATAAAATAGCAAAGCCTGAGCGATGAGGTCAGAAGCAGGGACCAGATCTAGCAGAATTTGGTAAGGATTTTAGATCTATTTTGTGTAGCATAGAAAAGCAATGGGACATTCTGATCAAGGAATGGCCATGATGTCACTCATGTTTTGAGAAGGTCGTTAAACTTTGAAGACTGAAAAAGAGCAAGAATGGAAGCAATGAGACCAGATGGGAGGCTCTGCTGTAGTCCAAGTGAGATGACAGGTGCTTAGACTTTGGTGGTAATGGTGGACGTGGTAAGAAATAAATATATCCAGGGTATATTTTAAGGCAGACTCACTAGGACTTGCTGATAGATACATATATGAAGAGGAGAAAGGAAGTAAAAATATAGGTTATAGGCTTTGGGGCTGGGCAGTGTTTATTAAGATAGGAAAGAGTGGGAGAGGCACAGGTTGAGGGGAAAGTCAGAAGTTTTGCTTTGACCAAATAAAATTTTAATTGTCTATGACACATCTAAAATGGGTGTCAAGCAGGTGGCTGGATGTTAAGTCTGGAGCTCATGGGAGAAGTTAATATGGGAGAGAACATGGATGGTGTCAAAAACCATGGGATGAACTCATTATTGACTGTAGCTAGAGAAGAGGACCAAAGCCTGAGCCCTGAGACATTTCAACACAGAGGTCAAGAAGAATCATCAAAGGAAACCGAGAAAGGGGCTGAGGTAGGAGGAAAACCGGGAGGGTGTGGTGTCCAATGAAGAAAGTGTCTCAAGAATGAAGGTGTAATCAACAACTGCCACATGCTTCTGAGAGGTCCTGCAGGATTACCATCCGGTTAGCTCCACGTACATCAGTGTTCTCAGCTCTGTTTTCTCACAGTGCTTTATTTGTGCCTTTCTCGTTGCAATTTCCAACTATTATGTTCTATTGTTATTTTTGTCTTCTCTTCTCTTAGAGGTTCCTTAAGATCAGACACCATGTCGGATTCCTCCGAGAACATTCATGACCTTATTTACTCAGTGTTTGAATAGATGAATGAATTACGTGGAATTCTAGAAAATCTGGGAGAATACACTAATACAGAATTAGCAATTAAAAACTGGTTTTAATGAGATGTCCTAAATGTTCTGAAAAACTACCATGTGTGTTTTGGTCTGCCTAAAATGAAAGATGTCTACCACACATCTGGGTTGGACTATTGCTAATCACAACTTATCTGAGGTTTCTATTTTTTTAAAAACTCTAATGGTACAGCCCAAAAGTAACTTTTTATTTGCTCCACATGATCTTTGTATGTATGTGTATACACACACACACATACACACACACACACGACTTGGCTATCTCTCTGCTAAAGTCGGTTCCAATGGATACCTTCAGAGGTCTTTCTCTGTCACACCTGAATATTAGCATCATCACAGTAGATCAGAGATCTCAGGATAAACTGATAATTTATATTACATGATAATTCATTTCAGAACCACGACAAAAGGAGCTAAAGAAATATGGGCACTAGGGATGACCAAGTGCTTAAGGACGTGTGGTTGAGAAGGCATACCCAGAAAAAGGCCAGCAGTCAGGGGATGAAATTCTTCCCTAGGCCTGCACAAAATGGATCAGATACAGTTAATAGGTCACCAATAGGTTACTCTCTCTGGAAAAGAAAGCTAAAAACCAACAGTTCTGAGGAATAAAAATATCAACAGCTAAGTTAATGGATGTAAGCTTTCAGCAACTTGTTATTTGGAAAATGTCCCCTAGACAACACAAAAAGTTACCCATCCCACACAAGTACAGTATCCCCCTAGAAATCATAAGTGCCCTCCACATGCCAGGGCAACCTATCCCTGGAGCCAGCTTTCTCTGCTTGGCCTGAGGCATTCCCTTTGGGACTGGTAGTGATTATTTTCCTAGAAGGCCACATTTCAGCTCCGTGGCTCTTTTGGCTAGCTTTATGGTGGCTCCTTGAGAGCCATTATTCACCTCTGATTCCGACTTAACTCATACCTCGGAACCGAGAAGTGAGTCTTCTCCAATCCACTGACCACTTACCTTAGTTTTTATATTTGAACATTTTGTAAAGAGACTTACAGTTCCCAGCCCTTTTACTAAATCAAACTCTGAATGTGCCCTGCCAAATTACAGCAGCTGACCACCCACCCAGTCCTGGCACTATGAATTCCCAGCTACTGCATTCTCGCCCGGCACATACTTCGGCAGGTAGTAGATACTCACGACGCACTTGCTGACAATTTTAAGAGCGACACTGACAAAAGGGGGCATATCTGTAGGAAGGAACGAACAGACTAGCGACATTTTGTTTGTGGAGTCAGAAGCTTCGGAGCTTCTTTCAAACAGAATAGGAGGAATAAGCCTTCTGTTATAAAGTCTAGATCATCATGACCTAGTGATTCAACGTAGCATTTTCAAACTCGGTACTGGGGAAGAGAATTCTAGGGTGAAAAAAGTTTGGGAAATGCTGGATCACTCAGTCTCATAACCTTACAACTTCTCAGTGCCTTTCGTATGGCAACGTGCTCTGGACTCTGAAAGGGAGATATGTCACACAGCTTTTTCCTCAACAAGTATTTAGTACAGTCCGTTGTTTCAGGTACAGTGCTGGGTCTTGGGAATACGATACTGGACCAGACAGACCTGGTCTCTGCTCTTATGGAGTTCATGCTCACTGTGAGAAACAAATTTCACACAGATATTTATTATAAAGCACAGTAAATGTTATGGGGGCGGGGAAAGACAGCATTTTCTAAGTAACACTCTCTAAAGCAGGCAGACATCTTCTTTCACTCAATATGAAAGATAGAAAGCCATATATTTCTCTTAAAGCTTTTCATGAACAGGGTCCTAACCGTCTACCTTGCTCCCAGGTCTAACACATTTTCCTTGCTAAAAATGTATTACATTTTCAGAAGTGAAGAATGGAGGCAAAAGCAAGACACAAACCACTCATCTATGAAAAGGTCAAAATTAATAAATAGGTCCAGATGCTTGATGAGAATAGCTCCAGCTTTAGGGGCTGCTTAAATTAGAGTGATGTAGAAACAGAAGCTGTGTCCTGTGGTCTACTCTGCAACTAAAATGAATGTGGACTGACGCAAGGATCTGATCCACAGTGGTTCCTACTGAAAGTAGCTGGTTTGAGTCAGCAAGTCTTCACAGTAATGCAAACCTGAACCAACTGTACTTTGTATGTTGATTTCTAAACAACTAGGTTCTTCCTATTTTTATAGTGGGTATTTTTGGCAGAAAAACACCATACTGATTTTAAAGTATCATTAAATAATCCCGAGTTAATTTTTTCTTCTTTTATGTTCATTTGCAAAGCACAACTATGTATTTATTAGATACTCTGCTAAGAACCAGGGAAAACAAAGAGGAAAACAGCCTGGTTGTGTTTTATTCATCCTTGTGGAGTGGGGGTGGGGATGCTACAGAAGGAAAGCCAGATCCATCACTTTCAAAAAAATCAGTGGTTATGTCAAAGTATACGGACATTCCTAAATCTTCAGATCTGTCTTATTCTCACTGTGGATCATTCTCACACGTTCTCAGTTAAGAGCAGTTCGGTTAAACTTAAAAACCTAAAGACTTAATGAACACGTTAAAGAATCTAAAGATTGAGTCCTTTTACACTCTAAAGTTGACTATGCTTACTAGATTCCACAGTAGTATTACTTTTCCTAATAGGTATACAGAATCACAACTTTGTGGGATGCCTGGGTGGCACAGTCCATTAAGCATCTGACCTGATTTTAGCTCAGATCATGATCTCAGGGTTAGAGATGGAGCCCTGCATTGGGATCAGCACTCAATGGGGAGTCTGCTTGAGGTTCTCTCTCCCTCTACCCCTTCCCCCTGCTGCGTGCCCCCACACACTCTAATAAATAAATCTTACAAAAAAAAAAAAAAGAGTCAGACTTGTAATTCACATTTGAGAGAATGTAAAAGGGTTCTTCAGTCAAATAAAGCTACATGGTAAATGAATTTTTGTAATTATAAAGTGTCATTCAATCTCAAATTATCTGAAAAGAGGCATGCTTCTCTCCTTCCCAAGACCCCTGTGGGTAATTTTTAATAGTCTCAGACCAGGACGGGGATAAATTTGGAAAACACTTAGGAGGATGACAAACACAAGAGAGACAGGTAAGTATTCTGATTTGATTCCATCCCACTGACTATGAATGGGATTGACTACAAATCCCATCACAGTTGATTTTTTCCTATCATACACCAAGAGTCTACACTTCTATTTCAACAATGGTAGCACACATTGTAGGAAACCCAGCTTACCTCAGACCTAAATATCAACAGTACGATAAATAAAAAGTGAGACTGTCATTCTTTGGCATGACCCATATAAACCAAGTTTCTGAAAATGGAAAAAAAAAGTTATCTCATACAGCCTATAAAAACCAAACACATCCTAGAAAGATTGCCAATTAAAGTTACTACCATTCAAAATCAAATCTTGTTTGTTGTTTTCTTAGCAAATGACCAATCCCTTTCTAGCCTGCATTTGAGCGGGGCAGGGGGGCGGGCGGAGACAAAGCAGGACTAATGCATTTGTTGGTTCATCTTTGGCTGACATCACCACACTAGAGCCTGGGAGGGCAAATTTGTTTAATTATGAGCAGGCTCCTTTGGGTCTCTAGATACATAAAGTGCTTGTCAATTCAACTCTATCCATCGTCAGAATTTAGGTCATCCAAATGAAAGACAACACTATGATGGACAAGCAATTATTTACTTTATTTAGGCTGAATTTATACCTTCCTAGTTAACAATGCCAGTAGTTTTAAAACATATTTTCATTTTCTTAGGGGGAGTCACTACCAAGAGTGAGTTATGAACAGGCATATAGAGGTCTGTGGCCCTCTCCAGTTTTCTTTCATATGTTCTTCCTTACACCTCGCATCTCTCACTTGAGAAAATTTTAGACAAGCATGAGACTAAGGAAAGTTAAATCAATTCCCCAATAGGTAACTGGCTTTATATAAATTTCATTTCCAACTCCTGGAAATAATGACAGACACAAAATTTTATTTAATTTTTTAATAAACCATAAAATTTAAATATTCAAATAAAAAGAAACAAAAATAGATTATTTAAGCCCGTACTAATTTCTGTGTTTATTCTTCCTCTGGGGATTGGGGCTTGACTTACCTGGGAAGAGAGCAGAGTAATACAGTTATGATGCTGGTGTAATAATGAACAAGTAACAACGGGAAATGGCTTGAATAAAATTTACTCTCAAATCTGGAAGTAAAGATCAGCAGCTCGCTTGAGCCCGCTGCGGAAACCTCAAACTAGTCTTGTCTGTGGAAAACTACTATGGCTTACCGTTCTTACCACGCTTTCTTCTTCACAGCTTAGCACTCCCTGGCATTTTGATCCTTTTTGTTCACTGAAGCTCACTTCAGTCTGTCAAAACATCAAGGGGGAAAACCCCCAAACTGAATAGACGAATAAACACTTTTAATGTGAACAATCATATTCAGATCAACCTCTTTTGAAAAAATACAAGTCAGTGGGTTTTTTGTCCTTAAGTAACTCAAATATTGTTATTATTATTATTATTTTTTTTTGCCTTTACTAAAATGGCACTTTCCATTTTATTGACATTTGCCAATGTCAAATTTTCTCACATGGGTACCTTGTTTTTCTTTTCGATTGAGGTTTATTCATTCCATTCCAGAATATCTGCTCTTTGCCTAACTTTATCTCGTTCTGTGAATAAATGCACTATTATTAATCAATGGAAATCACAAAAGGAAAAAGGAAGCAGTGAGCACTAGCTGGCTCACGCTTGAACATTCGTACACTTTTTATAAGAAAAACATTCATGTTTATTATGGTATCTAAAACCATTATCAGATACTACTACATCTTTTAGCATATTCAAATGGGCCGACAGTCCATGTGGACAGCAAGCTCACAAGAAACAGTGCGATGCACAAATATGTTCGGCTGGTTGAATCCCAGCAGCGTGGTAATAAAGTGCAGCAAAAATTTCCTTACACTGAATAAGAACTCCAGGAACTTCTGAATATTTTTGGTAAAGTTGAGGAAAAGCTACTACAGTCAGGAGATTGGTAATCTTTAGACTTCAAAGACCGGCTGCCAGGGGCCACAGTGAAATATTACACCAGAAGCCAATGAAAAACACCAGCTTGGAAAGGACTGGGTTTTTTCCAGAAGAGCAGAATTATCTTATATGGATGGTTAGCATACTATGATTTGACAGGCTTACAGTGATAAAACAGCAAAGATAAAGGATAACATTTAGCATGTAAAGAACATAGATTTAAAAAATCGGCAGCAAGAAATTCGACGATGGCTCCTGAGACAAGTTATCCTACGTCCTCCAACTATTCCATGTCAATGACGACCCACCTGAATGGCAACGGAGTAAAAACAGTGATCTACTACTGTACGTGAGTCAGAAAGTACTGGAAAAGTGACAAAATCGTATGTTATTAAATGACAAAACATATTTAGAGGCTTTATTTAAAAATCTCTCACTGTTCATTATCAAAGTTACAAGATTGTTTGCATACCAATAGACAGACTGTAAACATACGAAATTTTCATTAAGGAAAGATGGGTTTACTGTAATTGGATCTTTTACAAAAAATTACTGCAAGTTATTGATAACAGAATTTCTCTTTTACTTTCTTAAGTCTAATTCTCTAGAAAATTAAACCAATGTTTCCACTCCCTCGAGCTCAAGTTCAATCATGGTCACCTTAGGAAATACCCCTGTTTATTTGTTAATCAGAAATACAAATCGAGTGGCACATATTTCCATTTTCTTCTTAGGCCAAAGGTTTCGGCTTCATTATATTTTACAAGAAAACAGAAAGACTTGCAGTGGTCCTGTGAAGTCTTTCATGTCGCAGCTGAGGTTTAATGACGGCAGTGGAGGAAAGCAGTGGTGATGCAGAGTAAGACCAGCCCAAGTGCCCTTATCTGACAGGGAATCATCTTCCTGTTTGGCTTGCAGTAGTGTTTCTGGTCAGCTTGCCTCCACCACACCTGATTGAAGCAGAAGGGTGACATGCTCTGGTAAATCCTGTTTAGGGGTGATTCCGCTCAGGCAGAGAGTTGATCTTCAGTCTGTCGGCTGCGGGATGATACTAATATGAAGAAAATTATCCGGGTAGCTCAGATGTTCACTCAGCCACTGCAGAGGTGTTTCCAACATTGGCTCAATTCCATGAATCATCACCTGATTCTTTTTCTCTCCATCTATTCCAGGAAAGAAATCCAACAATAATCAGGAAGGGTCAAGACAGAAGAAAAAACAATCTGTTGCCTTTTGAGAATCCTTGGTGAGGTAAATGGGCTTAACAGCTTTAACAGGTTAAACCTGGTCTGTCTCCTGAGCAGGAAATGTGGACATGGAGAAAGTTCAAATGTTGCAATATGTATCACCCAAAACAGAAACCTGAGGGTTGCAATGAATTCTGATAAAAATTCTGTTGCTATATGTGAAAGTATTCATTCTTTCTTAATTACTGTGCTTACCTAAGATTGACGTTAATGAAACTATAGTGAAGAAAACAGCCCATTGTACCCACTGACCAAAATTTATTTTAGTTACACATTAAAAACTGTACTATATGGTTATTAAATATGGCAGGTGTATGAAGTAGGTCAATACATATTTAAAATATGTAAAATAGAAATATGGCTAGAAATCATCAAGAATAAGATCAATGTTTGGGAAGATGTTTAACGAAACAGATGGGAGGAGCCCTAGGTTAATTTTCAATCAAATTGTTCAAATATGTATCAAAGTTTTAGAGACAGGGAGTTACAGTTCTAATAAGAAGGAACTAAGAGTCTGACTCAGGATTCCTATTTTAGAGTCATGAAAAGGGATTTCTGTTAACACCCATTTGCTAATTAAAAGTGTGCTGCAATTCACACTTTTTTTTCAAATTCAAAATTTTCCACAGATTTAAGGTGCCCTGTGTGTCTTTTATGATTCTGATACGATGTACTGACAACTTGTAGGGTAAACAGCAGTTCCCTCCTAACCATTTCCTTGGTTGTTATAGGAAAACAAAGAAAGCAAAACCAAATTCCCTTTTTGAAAGCAAAACAAAACAGAACCTTCAAGAACTCTGTGTCACTCATCTGGTACACTTCTTGGTTTGTCTCTGTTAATCTCTCCAAAATACAATGTCTAAACCTCTCAGCTTCCTGGAGACAAGAGTCAAGGAAACAAGGAGCTCATGGAACTCTAGTATGAGAGGGAAATGCCCTCTTTCCCCCCTTTCTGCTCTGTTCATCCCTAGTACTCTCACATCCAGGCAAAGTGGACTGATGAGGTATGAGGATAATGGTGTGGCAGACATCTGAAACAAGAGACCCTTTTAAAGAAATATTTAAACTCCCCCTTAGAAGTAGCACAGGTCCTGGGAGGTGACAGTCAACAGACTGACCATAAAAGAATACACAAAAACACTACAGAGAATTCATAAAATGATGCCAAATATACAAAGCTAACAAACACACTCTCGACCCTAAACATAGGCGAGCAGAAGTCCCAAAACAAACTCCTGAATCACTGCCATACTTGAAAGCAATTTTGGAAAAAGACATCGCCTCCTAATGCTTCTCACTTAAAAAAAAATGCTTTCATGTTTTGATTTTTCTGATAATCTTTGTTGAATCCACACATACTTTTTACACAGCTGTAATCACTGTTAATACAATGACTAATTTTCATAATGATGGGAATCATCTATAAATAAAAGATTTAGCAATATACAGAAGACTACAGAAAGCATGGTATTAGTACTCTGAGAATATTTTAAATTGTTGGTATTCAAATGGACAAACCCTCAGCTATCTGGAATGATTCATTCTTTGTAAGTTCTAGATTGCCAAGGTTTCAGTGCATTAAATCTTTCTTAGAATATTTGAAAACATTTCCGGTATAGTTCTCTTCATATTCTTATGTATATTTCTTTGAAATATTTTAATATTCTCAGAATCTTCCTCCTACTTAGCACTGAGTCAAAAAATGAAAGAGCAGTAGTATAAGAGTTCCTTATCTATAAAATTTTTCCTTAAGCCAGAGCTACTTTTGGATGCCATGAAACAGAGTATGAGAAACAAGTCTCAACTCATGATCCAAAATGTTGTCCTTAAGCAGTACTTAAATGTGGGAGCAAATACAGTATGGCATACAATCCACTCATGCACAGTGTGTTTGAAAGGTAAAAGAACAACCCTGTTATGGAAGGATCGGATCGCTGGGATTCTGTGTTGTACAACATAAGGTGGAGAACATATGCACTATTCAAATACCTTATAAAACAAGCCTAATAAATCACGTTCTCAGAGCCCTAATAGGCAGCACAGACTGGTTTAAACTGGGGCCACTTTCAATACGTAACATAAAAGTGTCACTAACTAAACCTTGATAACTATGGAAATGCATCTAGGACTATCATATTCCCCAACTCAACAGTTTAAGATCTTGAATATATATTTTGTCACTGCCTCCGTTTATCCAAATACTTCAACTGTGTACATTCATCTTTCTTGTTTTTGAACTTCCCCCATCAACACAACTGCCACCAGAGCAATACTCAGAATGGAATAGCAGTTCCCTTGGAACTCTTAACTGAAGTTTCCCTCTCATCCATCACTATAACCCCAGCGCCGAGCATGGTGCCCAACACCTAGTAAATAGTTAATAAATGTTTTTATTGGATAAAACATTTTTGTTAAATGTTTGGATAATCTTGTTGCTGGCAGAAGGCACCACCAGAAGGCACTGCCAAAATTAATGTGTAGAGAACAGTTTCTGATGGTTGGCACTACTAAGTAGAAGAGCTCTACCTATAAAGGCTGTTTTGGTTATTAAAATAATAAAAAGTCAAAATGTTTCCAGATAAGCCAAGAAGCATATATGCTATCACCTGAACTCATGCTACCATAAAGGACAACAGAGCATGACTAGACGTTTTGGTAATAACAGAACTAACAAAACGAAGCAGTGAAAAATTAGCAAGATGTTTTTTGTTTTCCTAACAGTAGAAGGGAAACACTTATGACATTGTTAAAGTAAATTGTGTTTTTGGTAAATATGTTTTCATGTTTCAAAATGGGAATCTAGAATTTAATACTTGGGAATAAGAAATATCTCACTACAAAGCAAATGACTCAGGAGAAAAATGTTACACCACAACTCACCCACTCAGATTTTTTAAAAAAGTAGTCTGATGCTTTAAAAGTAGGTAAACATTTGAAACAGTAATCAAGTGAACTAGTTCTATATGAAATTCTCTCATACAGAGCACTTTAGGGGGGTAACTCTGATTCTGATATAATTTCAAACTTCTGGAAAAGTTCCAAGAGTAGTACAAGGAATTCCTCTTCACCCAGATTTATCAACTGCTTACATTTTGCCCATCTGCCTTATTGTTCTGTATGCATATGATTATTTTCTGAATCACTTGAAAGTAAGAAATACTGAGCCCCTTCCCCCTAATTGTTAGTGTGTACTTGCTAATAAAGATATTCTTTTACATAACCATGATATAGTCATCAAAATAAAATAATTAACTTATATAATACTGTGTAATCACTTCAAATTTTATCAACTATCCTAATTATTTTACTCACCTATCTAGAATCCAGTCCAGGAATCACACATGCATTTAATAGTGGATAGATTTTGCCTTTTTTAACCTTGACAATTTTTGAAAAGCACATATTATTTTTTTGTAAAATGTCCACGTAGCAATTTTTAAACCTAATTATTTTAATTCACCTTGTAAATATAAGGACAGTCATTCATAAATACTTTGGGTTTGTAAATTAAGGAAAAGGACAAAATAAAACCAGAGACACTATTTTCATTAGGTAGAGGAGGAATTCAATTCATTTAAGAGTTAGATATTAAACCCCAAAAGATCATATATCAACTCAAAGAATATAATAAAATTTCATTTCTTATATTTATCTTACTTATAAATCTAAGGGTTATAAAAGATAAAAATGTAAATATATCATATAATTTTATATTATCATCAATAGCCTAATAAAAACAAACCCAATTCTTAACTGGCATCTACTTTAAAGTGAACATTTTTAGAGTTTTGTGACATTTTAAGAAAAATACATTTAGATAGATGTTGGTTGAATTATATATGGCAGCAAAAAGAAAATGTGCATTAGCCACACAAGTCATTAATGAAAATTATGAACTTAAAACAATGGTAACTTCTTATGTATATATAAAAAATTATGCCTATACACAGTGTGTATATATACAAAATATACACCATGAATATAATGATATACCGAATATAAACGAGACATGAGGGCACCTGGGTGGCTCAGTTGGTTGAGTGTCCAACTCTCGACTTTTGGCTCAGGTCATGATCTCAAGAGTTGTGAGACTGAGCCGCAGGTGTCAAGCTCCATGCCAGGAGTATGGAGCCTCCTTGGGATTCTCTCTCCCCCTCTCCTTGACCCCAAAATAAATAAAATTTTAAAAATAATAAAAAGAGTAAAAAAATATATAAATGAGCCTGAAAGGAACAAGGGCCAACACTGCACTGTTGGTTAAGGAGGTGCTACTGGAAGATGACCCCAGAAGCGGCAAGCTGAATTCCTGATCAGGTCATGAAGGGCTCTGAGCAGGCCTCAGATCTCTTTCCGGGTGTACATAAAATGAAGGAGTCTCTGTAGATCCACGGTTTGCAAACTGGCTGATGATCAGAATCATTTGGGAGATTTAAAAATCTATATATAAACTGGGACCCGCTCCAGACCTTCTGAATCAACCTCTGGGATAAATATTCCCTTAAATAAATCTTATGATAATAAGGGTGTAGAATTTTTCCTTCAACAAAATCTTATGCAGAAAGTCGCCATATAATACAGGGGAGGATGGGGGTGGCTTTGGTTGATGTGGGATTGCGTGTCTCCCAAGTCCTGCTGCTTGCTGACTTACAAGCCATGGTTAATTCCTGATATGACTCCATGGGTCAGTTTGTAAACCATGTTCTAGAACTGAGGATCATGAACAGGTCTTAGAGCTCTAGTCTTTTATGCTTAAATAGCAATAGTTCTTTCAGGTTCAAACTGTCATAATTCACTAGTTTTTAATTCTTAGGCAAATCACTTAATCTTCTGAGTCTCAGTTTCCTCCCCTCATACTGTGAATAAAGAATTCTAGGGATGCCTGGGTGGCTCAGTTGGTTAAGTGTCTGCCTTCGGCT